TTGGGCTCCGGCGATCCTTCCGCCTCAGCCTTCCAAGTAGCCGGAATTACAGGCATGCGCTACCACGCCTGGCTGATTTTTTGATTTATTGTAGAGATGAGGTCAGGATCTCGCTCTGTTGTCCAGACTGGAGTGCAGAGGGGTGATAGCAGCTCACAGTAGCGTCAGATTCCTGGGCCGAAGAGATTCTTCGGCCTCAGACTCCCTTGTAGCTGGGACTATAGTCATGCACCACCATGCCCAGCTGATTTTCAAAAAGTCTTTTGTAAAGATAGGATCTTGCTATGCTGCTCAGTCTGGTCTCAAACCCCTGGGCTCAAGCCATCCTCTCCCTTTGGCCTCTCAAAGTGCTGGGATCACAGATGTGAGCCATCACACCTGGTTTAATGTGAATTTCTGGTTTAAACTTTGGGAGGTCCTAAAGGCCCTCAGAACGTCCCCATGGTGCTGGAAACTTTGTGTATATCACACACCACGTCCACTGCACCAGACACTGCCCCAGGAGGATAACACAGCTATTAGGATTTCTCAGACCTGGAGATGCATGAATGAGAAGAAAGAAGAGTAAAAGGTGTCATGACTTAAGAACACTTAAGAAGCAAGATGTGAGGCAAAGTGAAATCCAAGGGAAGGTCTTTGTGAAATGAACACGAGTTAGTTGCTAAAATGCCTCTAAAACACAGGAATAACCGAGCAGCCATGGGGATGGATTCCAGAAGATGTCAGAGACGGTTCAGAAAAGGGAGGAGAAGCACAAGCTAGTCTCAAATTAAGTTTTTCATCTGAATATAGAATTTAGATAAAAAAGTAAAAAAGGATCTTTACATGAAGAAGTTCTTCACTGACAAATTATCTACATAAAACACATTTTTCTGTCAAATTACGAAAGACACTTACCTCCCTTTTCTTTGCTTCATTTGTGCTATACTTCGGAAAGAGGTAGGAAAAGATATTTCCACAGCAGCAGGCAACATGCACCAGGGGACCTTCTTTTCCTAAACTCAAGCCTGATGCTACAGCCAGGACTAACGTGATAGTTTTAATCATTAAAGTCCATTTTCCCAAGTATCCTCTGATGATGAATCCACTCAGAATAGTTTTAATCTACAAAGGAAAGATTAAGGCAGCTTAATTTCCAATAAGAAACATGAGAATTTAATGAAATTAAGTTATTCTCTTTGGTTTACTCAAAAAAACTATCTTGTACGTTTTAGCAAACTATGGAACATTGAAATTTTTTTTTGCTTGTTATTTTTACTGTTTTCAGCTGAGGGTCTCACTCTGTCACCCAGACTGGAGTGCAGTGGCACAATCAGAGCTCATCACAGCCTTGACCTCCTGGGCTCAGGCGATCCTTCCACTTCAGCCTTCTGAGTAGCTGGGACTACAGGCATGCGACACCCACGCCTGGCTAATATTTAAAATTTTTTTTGTAGAGATGAAGTCTTGCTATATTGCCCAGGCTGGTCTCGAACTCCTGGGCTCAAGCAATCCTCCTGCCTTGTCCTCTCAAAGTACTGGGATTACAGGAATAAGACACCACGCCCGGCCACAATTTAAGATTTATTTTGTTATATATAAACTTCATCATGCTAGAATAATCTACAACGTTATATATGGTAAATCTATATCATATTCTAATTCTCTATCCAAGCAAGAACAGAAAGTAACCCTATCTCATGAATGAAATTAAAATATCAGGCCATGTTAAAATGAATACTGATCTTAATTATAAGGATTAAAATTACATAACCAAGAAAAAGGCAAATCTGAATGATTTCAGCTGTAAAAATAAGCATGATATGTTTATATACATTTTGGACACTGTGTCAGAAATAAAGGATATTATGCCTTCTCTGGGTACTGTAATTATAGGGAATATTTTTCCATACATCGAGAAGGATGGATGGCAACTACCACATACATACAGGATAGCTTTTTTACTTGAAAATAGTCCTTTCTTTCCCTCGAGTCAGGATCGCACTCTGTTGCCCAGGCTGAAGTGCAGTGCCACAACCATAGCTTACCAGAGCCTCAACCTCCTGAGTTGAGCCTCCAACCTCAGCCTCCCAAGTTGCTGGGACTACAGGCTGTTGTCCAGGTTGGTCTTGAACTCCTAGGCTCTAGTGATCCTCCCATCTCGGCCTCTCAAAGTACCGGGAATACAGGTGTGAGCCACCATGTCCAGTCCAAAGATAGTCTTAATGCTGCTTTAAAGACCACTACAATTTAGTTTTAAAAAGAAAGGCACTAGGAAAAAGCTGGCAACTTACTTAAGTACAGAAATAAAAGAATGAAAGAAGTCAGTTCACATCGACTTCAAGTCCCACCAATCCTAAGTATAACTAATTCACCCTTATTTACTGTTGATGAAAAATAAAACCCAAAAGTTTATACTATTGACCCACTGTGATCAAATGCTTCCTCAAAGCATAAAATGGCCAGATTCCAGAATCATTAATATCTAATCAAAATATAGTTATAAAAAGAAAATGAAAGTATTAAAATCAAGGTCACGACAACAAAATACCAACTAATCCATCAAAGAACTTTAGGCTACAGGATATCTGTTCCAGGTTCTTGGTGTTCCAAAAATGTGCTTGGTCACATGCGAAACTGATGTTGAAGATTAAAAAATCAGCCTCCACAGTAAATGACCAAATGATTAGCAGCTTATACTTTTTACATTTTCCCTTTCATATTACAAACAAACAACTTTTCCAAAACACCCGCTTCCCCCCTCCAAGGGCAAAATGGTAAATATTAGAACAGTGACTATATAATTTAGATATTAGATGACTTACCTCTGGGATTCCAGAGCCACAGGCATACGGAGCAAATACCTTCACCAGGGAAACTGCAAGAAAGGCAAAACTCAAGGCCCAGAAGATATACATAATGTAGTTCATGATGTAAGAACCAGGACCCTAAAAAACAAAAGTTCAAGAGTATGAATTTAGTTTACACTGCACCTCTAATGCAAGTGTGCGTGCCACATCGGAAGCTTGGGTAAAATGTGTAAAACTCTCCTGGTTTATTTCTATGACAATAAAAGCTTTACATAAACAAGACTTTTTTTTTTTTTTGAGTTGGAGTCTCACTCTGTCCCCCAGATTGGAGTGCAGTGGCCGCTCCCGGCCACCGCAGCCTCGACCTGCTAGGCTCCAGCGACCCTTCCGCCTCAGTCTTCAAAGTAGCTGGAACTACAGGCACGCACAACCACCCCCAGCTAATTTTTTTGATTTATTGTAGAGATGAGGTCTCGCCAAGTTGCCCAGGTGGGGCTCAAACCTGTGGGCTCAGGCAATCCACTCACCTCAGTCTCCCAAAGTGCTGGGATTACAGACTGAGCCACCAAGCTTAGCCATAAACAAGATATTAAAGTAGAATCCAAAAACTAATTCTATGTACCAGGGCATCTTACTTACACTTTATCTTTTTTCTGTCTTTTTTCTGATCCCTAAAGTCTCCTTAACAAGACACATCAGCTATATTTTAACCACTCCAAAAAGTGACTACAAACACTTCTTGGAAACAGTTGATAGAAACAACTGCATCAGTACTCACATTTCATTTTGCTATAATTTTCCAGAGGATCATTAAATTAAGCTCAATTCTGCTCAACTAAGTCAGGTGAGAAACCACCTATTTGAACCAGCAAATAAATACTTTTCAGCTCTAAAGTTCAGCTATAACAAGATTCTAAAAAATATATCCATGTGGTCATGTAAAAAATATACATATAACATTCTAAGTTCTAGAATGTTCTTTGCAGAACACTAGGGTAGTAAAATAATCATTTAAATACTGTAATACCACAAAGAAAACTCTCTGAAGTTCTTCAAGGTATCTCCACTGAGAAGGCGTATTCTACTAAATTATTTGATAATTCATACTTCTCATTCTTAGTGATATATATTAAACAATTTTAATAACTTGACTTCATATTAATTTTATACAGATCCTATTGGAATAACTACTTCTTTTTTTTGTTTTTGTTTTTTTTTTTTTTTTGAGTTGGAGTCTCACTCTGTCACCCAGACTGGAGTGCAGTGGCCGCTCCCAGTCACCGCAGCCTCGACCCGCTGGGCTCCGGCGATCCTTCCGCCTCAGCCTTCCGAGTAGTCGGAATTACAGGCATGCGCTACCATGCCCGGCTGATTTTTTGATTTATTGTAGAGATGAGGTCTCACTGCCCAGGCGGGTCTCGAACTCGCGGGCTCAGGTAATCCACTCACCTCAGCCTCCCAAAGGCGCAGGATTACAGGCTGAGCCACCGAGCCTGGCTTCTTTTTTTTTTTTTTTAACTACAATTCAAAATAAATATTACTAGTGCCATAATCCAGTGGACTTGCATGTGACTATGTAGTTAACAAATATAAAAGCATCTTGAAATAATACTGTGCCTCTTTCTTGATGCAATGTATTCTCATATTTTTCACTCTATTCTATTACATTTTTTTCCCATTAGTTTGGATGAATCATCTAATGTGGCTAATTCCATAATTAAATGAATTGGAAACATTTCACTGCATCAATTACTAATTCATCTCAAGGCAAAAGCAAGACAGACCTCTGCTTGACCTATGATTAACTCTGCCCATGTCTTCCACTGTGGACACTTGTCCCTCTCTTCAAAGGTCGTCTCATTAGACCCCCAACAACACTGTTCATGGTTGTACCACAGTGCACTGAGGCAAATGCCCTCCTTTAGGTCAGTCATCCAATCCGCAGCAATGTCGATTAATCCTGCCAATGCCCCTGGAACAAAAACATATTGGAGACGGTTAAAAAAAAAAAGTCCGTTTTAAGGAATCTAAAACCATCTAGTTAAAAAGTTAGTGAAAAGCAGGGGACCCACGAAGGGTCATTTATGCGAACTTAAGATGCTCAAATTTTAGTTACAAGTAAGTTTAGATTACTTTTTAAAACTGTAAATAACTGTCCTTTAAAATAAAAATTGCTATTTTTTGTTTGGAGTTTAAACCATTCACATCATTCAAATTAACTATGATTCTCAAATCATATCTTCGATCCAAATCTTAATTAACAGACTTAAAAATGATGCTGGTCTCATTAAAATTTAATTTCCATGAAAAATAATTAGTGAAGCTTATAGCATTCAGATTTGTAGCATTTCTTTAAGTGGTGGAAAACCACATATATTGCCAAATATGTTTACTGACAGAATACAAAAAACACACGGACTTATGGTCAAATCGGGTCCTTCTGATCATGTAATGAGATCGACGGCTCGGGTACACAGAGGCCACACCATTCCTGCGCATGCCAGTTTGAGTCATCAGCACTTTCCTCTATCCTTTGCAAAAACGTTAACTTCTCATGTTAGCCTGGACATCATCTTCCACAACAGAAGCTGAAAATGATTAAAGCAGTCCTTCACACTAGTTTTCAGATCCTCAACTGCTAGTTCCTCGCATCTCACACACTGGCCTTTGTGGCTACACTGCACAGTTTGGTGACCAAGTTCTTGACTGGCGCCTGAGTTGAAAAGTCCTGGCTTGGCCACTCACCAGCTCTACAACCTCAGTCAGGTCACTTGATTTCAGTTCCCTCACCTGTAAAATGGCGAAAATGACAGCATGTACACCACAGAATGGCCATGAAGTCTAAATACATGTAAGTTTTCATAACAGTGCATGGCACGTGGGAAGTACTCGGTAAGTATTCACTGTTAATTATGATGCTAACATCAAAAGATACTGTACTGACCATTTATTTTACAGTTATGGAAACTGAGCCCAAAAAGATAAAGCTGGATAGAACCAAGAACAGACCTGGGAGTCTCCTGCCTCCCTGAAGGACAGAAACAAATGCCTCTTAAATGCCAGCAGTGCCTGAAAAAGAAAGTCAAGAGAAGGAGGGGAGAACTACTTCCAGGATTGCTTCGAAAACGTTCCTTACCTAAAGAAACCATCAAGAGAGTAAAGAGACAACCCTCGGGATGGGAAAAGCATTTGCAAACTATGCATCCAACAAACACCTAGCGTCCAGGATCTATAAGGAACTCAAATGAACTGAAAGGAAAGAAACGAACAATTCCATTAAAAAGTAGGCAAGGGACATGGACACTTCATGTCCCTCGTCAAAGGAAGACATCCATGTAACCAACACACACAAAAAATGTTCACCTCACTAGTCATCAAAGAAACGCAAATCAGAACTATAATGAGATACTGCCTAACACCGGCACAGATGGCTATCATTAGAAAGTCAAAAAACAACAGGTGCTGGCACGGCTGCTGAGAAAAGGAAATGCTTCTAAACTACTGGTGGGAATGTAAGTTAGTTCAACTTTCATAAAAAGCAGCGTGGCATTTTTCTCAAAGAACTGAAAACTGAGCTAACTGTATGATCCAGCAATCCCACTTCTGGAAATATACCCAGAGGAACAGAAATCTCTACCAAAAAGACATCTGCATGCATGTTCATTGCAGCACTATTTATAGTACCAAAAACATGGAACCAACCCAGATGCCCACTGAAAGTGGACTGGATAAAGAAAATGTGGTACATACACATGACGGAATACTACGCAGCCATAAAGAAGAATAAAATTATGGCCTTCACAGCAACATGGGGCAGCCAGAGACCATCATGTTAACTGAACTATCACAGAAACAAAGAACTGAATACCGCATGTTCTCACTCATAAACAGACCCTGATCACTGGTCACACGAGCATAGCGTGGTGTCGGCAGGCACTGGACACTGGTGGGGAGGGAGGAGGGAGGAGGCATGTGACAACACAACTGCGTACCTGGTCCACTGTGGGGAGAGAAAGGGCCAGTTGGAAGCCCAGACTTCACCTGCATGCAACTTAACTTATGTAGCAAATCCTCACTTATACCCCACAACTCAATAAAAATAAAAATAAATGTTCCTTACCTGATGCCAGCCCTGTTAGCGTTACAACTAGCCAACCTGACCACGCATCATACAAGCTTTTTGCCATTTCCCATGCTGACTCTTTCTTTTTGCTGTTGATCTGAAATTAGAAATGTTTACGCTTCATTTTTCACACTATAAATAGGCCACAATTCTACAACATAGCAATTTCTCTCAGTTACCATACTTTCTGAAGTAAATAACAGAAAGATGAGTTTGGGGCAAAATCACTATGTTAGACAGTTGTATCTGGACACCAGATGACATGAGTTTATCCAGGGATCTGCATTTTTCATAAGATCCTTGAGATTTGAATGCCACAAACCACATAAAGTCTGACTTTGCAGACTTAAAATGAAACAAGTCCAAACTTCAACTGGTACACACACTATCTTTTATATTAATGGAGGTAAGACAACAAGGTTTGAAATGCCTGTCATTACCTGGCCCTAGTGGTTATGTGGATTATATTCTATGAAAGGTAGGATCTGGCCAGGTTTGGTGGCTCAGCCGGTAATCCCAGCACTTTGGGAGGCCAAGGCGAGTGGATTGCCTGAGTCCACAGGTTCAAGACCAGCCTGGGCAACTTGACAAGACCTCATCTCTACAATAAATCAAAAAATTAGCTGGGCATGGTAGCACGCACATGTAGTTCTGGCTACTTGGAAGCTTGAGGTGGAAGGATCACCAGAGCCCAGCAGGTCGACGCTGGGGTTGGCCGTTGAGTATGCCGCTGCACTCCAGTCTGGGCTACGGAGTGAGACTCCAACTCAATAAATAAATAAATAATAAAATAAAATAAAGGGGTAGCATCTGAGGAGAGTAGCACCATGGTCACAAATATAATATAGAATGGTCATGTGGACCGAGGGACGCCCAACAACTTATAGGCCATGGACATGCAGGTGTGGGGCGCTTCAATCTCACTGGTAGGGCTCCTTCACTAGTGTGTCCTCTACCAAATATTGTGTAGGCAGTTAGGAGTTCAACAAGAAGGTAGGAGATTTGATTCAGATCTCATTCTGCTAAGACAAAAGAAAAGTCTCACTTCTCTTTACAAATCTGTCGCTAGCTAGGCCAAACCTCTTCTGTCCTACTAGGATTTTTGCTTTAAAAAGCCATATTCTCAGTCTAGAACTTCAGTGCTCAACTATTCCCTAGGAGGACCACAGCTGGAATTCAATGACCTGGTCTATTTCAAGCATCTGGTCTATTTGAAGCCATGGGCCCTTTTATTTATTTTTATTTTTTATTTATTTTTGAGTTGGAGTCTCACTCTGTTGCCCAGACTGGAGTGCAGTGGCCGCTCCCAGCCCCCACAGCCTCGACCTGCTGGGCTCCGGCGATCCTTCCGCCTCAGCCTTCCGAGTAGCTGGAACTACAGGCGCGCAGTACCACGCCCGGCTAATTTTTGATTTATTGTAGAGATGAGGTCTCACCAAGTTGCCCAGGCGGGTCTTGAACCCATGGGCTCAGGCAATCCACTCACCTCAGCCTCCCAAGGCACAGGATTACAGGCTGAGCCACCGAGCCCGGCTGCCACAGGCCCTTTTAAAAGACACAGTAAGTTCTAAGTTGAATGAGGCGATTTTACTCCTTTATACTATTAGCAACCAAACACAGATATTAATTATTCTTCAGAAATAGAGGCAGGTATTTCTTTCAAAAATAATCACGAAACTCCATATTGCTTTAACTCAATAAAAATAACTAAAATGTTTGATAAATGATGCAATGTCAAGTCATCTTCAGTCTGAGTCACTGCTGTTCTCTGTAGACAACTGCTGGAAAAGCACCACAGTCACCTAAGAAGCACCTGCTTGATGCAGCAGGCCAAGCACAAAGAGAGACTATGAGCAAGAGTGCTCACTCATCACTGGTCCTAAAAAAACCTGAAGATCACTTAAGTGTTCATCAATACAGCATTGGTTTAAGTAAAAATGTCATGAAAAAATCTACAGCAATTAAGAAAGAATGAGATAGGCACAGTGTTATACAGGAAAGAAAGTAAGATGGCTGTAAGTGTCTACCAATGGTGTTAGTCTGTTATTCTGACTTTGTTGTGTGTGTGCTGTGGAGTTAATTAAACTGCTATGCTTGTGGTGCTGGGATTCTGGCATGGCTTAAAACGGATATAGGCTTAAGAACTAGAGGGTAAGCTCTATAGTAATGAATGTAAGCTAGACATATATACGGAACACCAGCTTACACACAACACAGGTGAAAGAAAGAATGACACCAGACTATAATTCCAGAACTAGAAACTTGATAGGTATTTCTCAATAATGAACCAAGTGACCCTGTCATTTCAAGTAAAATAAACATGAATTTGAGTTTTTAAGGAAAAAATTAAAAATTTGGAAAACTTGGATTCATCACTGTGAGGATAATAGGTTCCCAATACTTAAAAACTTTTCTGACAGGATCAGTGGTAAAATTAACAAATGAGATTTTTAAAAAATATTATATAATGAAAAGTGTCAACGTGAAAGATATGCATAAATAAATTGATATTTTCTAAATTATCATTCACATCACAAAATCATATAAATCATAGATTCTTCTCCCTCAACGTTCTGAGTAGCTGGGACTACAGGCATGTGCCAGCATGGTCGGGTCATTTTTTCACCTTTTGTAGAGACGAGGTCTCACTACATTGCCCAGGCTGTTCTCGAACTCCTGGGCTCAAGTGATCCTTCCACCTCGGCCTCCCAAAGTGCAGGGATTATAGGCATGAACCACCATCCGGCTACTTCTTCTTTAATAATAAGAATCATCAACAAGGTTCTTCTCTTGCCTCAGCTGCTGACCTTGGCGTGCTCTCTTCTACTGCTGGGCTTTTCTTCCTATTTTGTCTTCTTATTGTGTTTCTTTGTTTTTAAGCTACCCTCAAACCCTTTCTGGGAAGACATGGGGTATAAATAAACTAAATAATAATGATATATAAGGCCAGGCTCGGTGGCTCGGCCTGTAATCCCAGCACTTTGGGAGGCCAAGGTGAGTGGACTGCCTGAGCCCATGGGTTCGAGACTAGCCTGGGCACCTGGTGCGACCTCATTTCTACAATAAATAAAAAATTACCCGGATATGGTAGCTGGATATGGTAGCCTATAGTTCTGGCTACTTGGAAGGCTGAGGCAGTAGGATCACCAGAGCCCAGTAGGTCAACGCTGGGGTGGCCATGAGCATGCCACTGCACTCCAACTTGTGAGTGAGACTCCAAGTTAAAAAAAAATTCATTACATATGAAATGTAGAACGTTACTTACATTTATTTTAATATGTATTTGGCAGCCTGAGATCACTGGCAGAAACACATTATGTGATCTAAACATGCACTGTATTTTAAAAAATGCACTTACCCGTCTATGCCTTTCTCTGTCCTTACATTTCTCTCGCACCCAGTCGATAGTATGGAAATCATCGTATGTGCCCACACCTGGGATCGGTTCATCCAGAAGGTCCAGCAGGTGTGTGGAGCTGTTAATGCTGCCTCCATTTGTCATTGTGTAGTGAGTTCCTGCAGAGCAAAAAAGAGCGAAGAAACCACAGTGAACTGCGGGACCCTAGGAAGGGTCATTAGTAAGACACAGAAATAACACCATTCAAAATAATTTCAATCCAACGGGAAAATGTTAAGAAAAATTATCCAAAACTTGGAAATAAAGCAAGAAGATGTCAGTGTGTCCTGAAGTCATACTAGAGTATCAATGATATGCTGGGCTGGTAGTCAGTCGTCCGGTGCTAAAGAAAAGAGTTCCGTGTGACTTGCTATTGATGACTGACTAGGGAATAGACTCTGCAAGGTAAGAAAATGACTCACAGAAGACTGATCATTTGAAAATGGTGATTTTCATCTGGCAAAATGTAAATGAATTCTCTCCAGGAGAAAACAATACCCCTTGAGACTCGTGGTTTTATCTGTCTCTTTGTTTTGCCCTGGAAAAAACTGCTTTCTTTCACTGCCTACATACATTTCAGTCTCACACATCCTCCTTTGAATTAGCCCTGTCATCATGCTGGTTCCCGCATTAGAGTTAAGCAAATCTTTGACATGGGCTCATTATATATCTTAAAGGAGTATGACAGACTTAAGGAAGGTGCTAGAAAGGACATTAAAAAATAATTAAAGAACAAGAGCTACATGTGGCTTTTAAATATGAAAAGAAGAGCCGGGCTCAGTGGCTCAGCCTGTAATCCTGCGCTTTGGGAGGCTGAGGTGAGTGGATTGCCTGAGCCCGCGGGTTCGAGACCCGCCTGGGCAACTTGGCGAGACCTCATCTCTACAATAAAAAAATAAAATAAATAAAAATTAGCTGGGCGTGGTAGTGCGCGCCTGTAGTTCCAGCTACTCGGAAGGCTGAGGCAGAAGGATCACTGGAGCCCAGCAGGTCGAGGCTGCGGTGGCCGGGAGCGGCCACTGCACTTCAGTCTGGGCGACAGAGTGAGACTCCAACTCGAAAAAAAAAAAAAAAAGAAGAAAAGAAAAGAAGTTCAACTGAACATATAAAAGAATCAAACGCACAATATTATGTTCCTCTATCACATTAGTAAAGACAAAAAAAAGTTAAGTGAATGCACTCGGTTGGCAAAGCTATAGAGAAAGAGGACCCTCACAAAATCAGTAGATTCAGTATAAACTGGAATAACACCTTTGGGATGACAAAAGCTGCCAAAATTTAATACACAGAGATGCTCCTCCCCACACAGCAAGTTCACTTCTAGGGATTTTTTCTGCAGTTACACTTGCATAAATCCTTGAACGAATCCACAAATTATGTAAAGGATGGGTAGAACATCTTATGTGCTATAGAAAGAAAATAAAAACATATTCATGCCAAAATGACTATAATCTAAAACAAGTCAGCAAAGAGCCAGATAGTAAATATGTGGGCCTTAGAGGCCTCACAGATGCCACTACTCAATTCTGCCACAGCAGCACAAAAATCATAGACAATTTATAAATGAATGGGTATGAACATGTTTCAATAAAACTTTATTTACATAACAGGTGAAGGACACGATTTGGCACATGGGCCATTGTTTGTCAATCCCTGATTAAAAGTCTGTACAGTACAAGTCAAATTCAACTAAGACATTTATTATTTTAAAATATAAGTAGCACTTTTCTATACAGTGCAGCAGACATAAGGATAATCTTTTAAAAACTGTCCCTGACTTCAAGGTGCAAGTTGTGGGTTCAGAATCCAAACCGTATTTTACAAAAAATTCTAATGTTGAAGCACTATAAAACACACTTTAGTCATGTTACCTATATTTAATTTGCTACAGAAATCTTGTGATGCAGTACCTAGAACTAGTCGTGTTACCCATATTTAATTTGCTACAGAAATCTTGTGATACAGTACCTAGAACTAGACAGGGTTGATCTAAGAGAAATTCCTAAAAACTATGAATTTAAAGTTGTAATTTGAGATAATTAGTCTATGATCACACAATGGGAATAACAGCTACAAACCCCATGCCAGACACACATACACCTACTTCTGACAAGAAGAAACATGGCGTGGACATGTTTTTAAAAAGTAACTTATATTACCATTAGAAAAAAAATTTGGAGGGAAGAAAACAGGTTGGGTAAAAAATATGAGAGGCCTAAGTGAGAGGACTGCCTGAGACCAGGGGTTCAAGATCAGTCTAGGCAACACGGTGAGACCTCCACTCTACAATAAATAAAAAAATTAGCCAGGAGTGGTGGCATGCACCTGTAGTCCCAGCTATTGGAGGCTGAGGTGGAAGGATCGCTTGAACCAAGCAGGTCGAGGTTGTGTTGAGTTGTGATCATGCCACTGCACTGCAGCCTAGGAGACTCTGAACCAACTCAAAAAAAAAAAAAAGATAATCTAAGAATAAAAATTACTGGACTTGACAGTAGAAGTAAAAGTTGATACAATTATTTTGAGGGCAAATATTTAACAAAATGTAAGGTTTCCACTTCTAGGAACTAATCACAAGTGCATAAAGACTTAAAACATTTCATGGAAACACTACAGGTAATACTGAAAAATTCAAACAATGAAAATGCTCATTCATTGGCAATGAATTAAATTGTGTATATTTATGCAATGGAACATATGCAGCAGTTAAAAAGAATGAGGCAGATTATTATACACTGGCGTAGAAAGCTGGCTACAATATGTCACAGTTTTTAAAATGGCAGGTGTAGATCAGCATTTTTAATATACAAATTATTTTGCAAATTTTATTTTGGTTTAAAAATTATGCTTCACACATATGCTTACAAATATAGCAAAAACAGTGCGACCAGATATGAGACAATCCATAGTAAGGGTTACCTCTGAGGAGGATAATTATTAGAAGCAGAGAATGAGCTTTTATTTGCTACTTTACACTTATAGATGTATGGATAGGGCTATGAAAAAAAAAAAAATTCTAACAGATACAATCATCACAAAAGTGAAATGGATCCAACATCATAGAAGTGAAAAGAGAGAGGAATTGTTACCAAAAGGCCTAGATTCTAGTCCTAGATAGCTGAGTAACTTCGGACAAGTCATTTTTAAATATTAAGTATCGGCAACCTTGACAATTATATGACATATGCTACAGTTTATAACAAAGATATGTAAACAAAGAAGTATCTGCAATGTTGCCAAGACACTGAAAACTTTGAAAACTTCATACATAATTTCAGATAGGTAATTTTAGGAAAAATGATTATATCCTCAAATTATGTAGCAGTAATATAGATTTTATGCAAAAAAATAATCTAGAGACTACTTATATGTATGCCATTTTAAAGAAAATGTAACTATTTGACACAGAATGAAAGAAGTGGCACTACACTAATGTTTAAATGAACACTGTAAAAATAAAATACATGAGATTTGCTTATTTTATTCTATGACTTTTAAGGAAAAGAACAGAATTCCTAGACTACTCTTGCAGTTTTTCTGCAGTCTTTCTGGCTTAAATGGACTCGTTCCCTTTCATTTACAGATAAAGAAACAATGATAAACGTTAAGTCACTTAATGAAGCTATCACGTGGCAAACATAGACCTGAACTTTACCTAGTCACTTCACATATTTGTAGACTCTAAGAGCAAGAGATCCCTGAAATCAACCAGAGGGAAGAGAGGGAGAAATACACAGAAAGCCACCATGCCAATACCAAGAACTCATTTGGTTTGAAGATATAAGCCAAGTAAACCATACTGTAGGCTGTAAGCTCTGTTTCTTGATCATTTAAAAAGGCAGTAGGAATAAGACAAAAAAGAGAAAGGGTCAATATTTTAAGCAATGTAATAGTGAATATTGTACTAACAAACTGCTTTTACCAGGGAGAACACTATTCAATATACTTGAATGTTTGCCTTGGAAAGGTGTAAAACTAAAAGGAGAGTTATACATTGATTTCAGTGCTTTGTCAGAAGTCTGATTAAGCAGTAGCATGAAACAAAAATCACCCAGTTTGACCTCCCAACACCTGACGCTCTCTTCTACGGAGTACGTCTCTACTGTTTTCTTAAAATTGTATTTCAAGAGCTGGTTAATTAGGAAATGACACTATGGTTTTTCTGAAACTGAGATCCGAAGTGAGCTCTAGAAGACAAGGAGGTCTTCAGGATTCAGCACGGGTGGCCAGACAGTTCCTCCTTGATGGCACCTTCTTTCTCCTAGTGAACACTCCGCTCATAGTCAGATGTATTCACTTAAGTGGACGGGCTTCCCCTACCAGCTTCCCGCTTCTCAAGACACAGGCAGCGTGGAGCTGTGTGGACCCAACCACATGCTTGTCCATACGACACTATCCCCATAAGAGCAGTCAGAGACCTCCATCACCCCAGAAAGAAATACTCAGCAGAACACAGGGAACAGGAGTCCATACGACTTCCGAGTTTCAGGTAAGCTTCTGAAACCCACAGAAAAGACAAAATGTGAAAATCCCATACTTCTGAGTTGCAAGAGATGGGTCTCTGGGTTTCAAAAGGCTTTAAGCAAAGGGTTGAGAATTTCTGCAATAAGCCAGATGAAGAACCTACTTTACCCACCATATGAAATCTGCAAGGGAAGGAGAAGGGAACTGAGTCAACAAGAGTTATAACACCTGGCAACTGGCTTCAGTCTTTCAAATTTTCTGTAAGTGAAGTATAGATCGATTACAGGTCACACTTATCTATAAATTTTTACTTTTTGGACAGGTGCAGTAGCACACACCTGTAATCCCAGCATGTTGGGAGGTTAAAGTGGGAAGATACTTGAGGCTAGAAGTTCAAGACCAGCCTGGGCAACACAGCAAGACCTTGTCTCTACAAAAAACAAAATTAAAATAAATAATAAAAATAAGTATTTTTATTCATAGTTTCTAAAAACCATTTCACATGTCATGAAATGCACACACATATAATTTTTAATGACTTCAGATTGCTATATTTGCCCTGACATACTACAATTTAAACAAACCTTTAAGTTGGTTTGTCATTACACACAGTACCTGAAATATGTCCATCTACTTAGCCATGCTCTTTTCCAATTAA